CCAACCCAAACCATTCTGTGATTCCATGTCACGGTCCAGCTCCGGGTGGCTCAGCAGGATCACTTATAAAGCACCCACAAGTCTGAATCCTCTACTGTGTCATCCCATTTTGTCTCTTTCAGCTGGGCATTCAGAGGGAACTAAAATACCAGCAACAGGTTTCCGCACATAATTTACCTGCCTGAAGCAGGTGAATGTTTTAAGTGTGAGGATGCAAGCGAACTGTTCGGCAGTTCTGGGATCTTTGCCACTGGAAGAAACGCTCTCTCCAAGCCAGTGCTTGTATCCACTTTGGTTCCTGGAACCACCGTGAAAACTCCTGGTTCACAGATGTGAAACAAATTACGAAGCTTATGCAGTCGCATTCCTCCTTATTATTGAGAACAAAACAAATCTGAGAGATGGAGGACTTCTTAAAGTAATTATTGTCTGGCTTTATTTTAAGAAAATGCAACTAATTCTGAAAACTCCCCAATTCCTGAAGATTCCTCAGCCTAGGGAAGTCACATTAATTGTAAGATTAATTTGTTTTAATTTCCTAAACCAAAAATATTGACTGAATGAGAAATTAACACATGTAGAGCTGCAGATGTCATTTGGCTTCAGATTTCCTGAATGATATAATTATTAATCTTTCATATAGCAGAGTGACAAACCTACAGATTCATTCTGCAAAATTAGTCTGTGAAGAAAGACACCAGGACAGCTGAGCTATAGATTTTCCCCTTAATACAGGAAGGAAAACAGTGGAATTTTCTAAATAATAAATAAAACCAAAATATTTTAAAGACATATGGCGCACATCTGTCTGAAATACAATAATTTAAAGCAGAGTAATTAAATGCAAGATATAATATTCACCTTGGAGCGGGGGAATTATTTAATTTTTAATACAACTTAGAGAACTTGGGAAATTCAGATCATCTGTGGTATCTTTTGAACCTTTTGTTCTGTGTTTGGAAAGAAGATAGATTAGCAAATTGCCTTTTGATTTTCTTTTTAGGTAACCAACCTTCTGTTTCAAGATATTGAGTGTCATACCCATACCAACCTTTAATATTATCTTCAGCTGCAATTATAAATAAATACAGGTTTCTTAGTTTCTACTTTAATTTCCAGTTAACTCCTTAAAAGTCTAAAGGCAGCAAATGCCTCATGTTAGTTTATTCCTTTCCTCTTGAGCGAAGGCACTGAATGGATTAGGAACTTTTCGTGAGTATAACATGGATTCATGAAATTCCATATTGAGAAATCCTATGGTTTTAGCAAAACTTTTGGATTAACCTATTCCTCCTGAAAAAAGGGGGGGTAAACTGTAATGGAGATTGTATACATATTTTTTAACAGGCAAAGAAAAAAAAGAAAGGTTTTTTTTTTTTTCCTACTCTTCACTTTTTTTAACATGATTTTGCCTTCACCTAGGTGAGGTATTACTCAGTTCTTCTCAGTTTCAGAGTTGGTAATTTGAAGAGTGAAGGCATCATTTGAAGATGAGGAAGAGAGATAAGAATCTGATGAAACTGAGTTTTGAGCCCGAGTGCTGGGTTGAGGAAAATGTTCAAGTATGTGGTGTCAGCAAGGAGGGAAGTTGTGCTGAAGACGCTTAGTCCTCAAAAGGACCATTTGAGAGAAATACTGTTCTGATAAACAACAAAAAAATTAAAGGTAAATGATGCTGAGATAATTTCTGTTTGTTTTAAGGGAACATGACAAAGATCCTGAAACCTTCTTTAAAGTCCTGCTGAGCTGAAAGAGGAAAATCTGCCTTTTCACGTGTCTGTCCTTGGAGAGGCTTTCACTGAAATCCCAGGTACCTTCCCTTTTTTTTTTTTTATTTTTTTTTATTTTTCCTTTACTGCAAAGTTACCATAAAGTAAATATTTCCAGAAGTAGTTTTCATGTACATATTTTCTTATATTCATGGAAGAACATGTTTAAAATCTTTGTAGTTGTAAAACTGAACTATTGAGATGTTGTAACTAAGCTATTAGTATGTTGTGAAATTAAAATTATTAAAGAGAGTAAGGATTTTTTTTTTCACTTGTCAGCACCAGACCTTGTTTATGACTTGTGTTTCAGTAACACTTCTGTATTTATTTAAATAGAGAGAGATAGGTGGGAGTGGTGGGATGGTTCAGATAGGAAACGAAATCTTTCAGGTCGAGGTCGCTCATCTGAAATCCAGACTGAGATTTTGGCAGGTGAAAACACTTAGTTCCCTTTCAAACGGGAGGTTAAGGACTTCTGTGGAGAGCTTCTGGTTTGTATCTGGCCTGAAAGTGGTCATTAATCTTTAATATTTTTTATACTGCTCTTTTGCACACTCCTTCCCTTTCTTGGTTTCTGACAACCACTGCTCTGTAAACAGTTAAATCTGAAAAACGAATAGGGTTTGTTCTGAACACAGACAGCTTTGTGCCTGAGATACTGTGGTAATAAAGTCAATAATCAAATCCTACATTGGGAG